TTATTATTCTCTTAATATTTTGCAGGATTTATCTTTATAAATATTTGTATACATATAGATCTTGATAAAAAAATATTCCTAGACAAGCTAGAAATGTTATGCTTCAAAAAAAAAATATAAAAATGTAAAAATTTACAATACATTATTCTGTAAATGTACAGTACAATATTATTTTCTGAATTCGCACTGCAATATTACTTTGTTAATTCTCTTACTATATTGCATTATTATTCTCTTAATATTTTGCAGGATTTATCTTTATAAATATTTGTATACATATAGATCTTGATAAAAAAATATTCCTAGACAAACTAGAAATGTTATACTTCCAACAAAAATAAAACAAAAAAAAAGATATTCTCTTACTATATTGCATTATTATTCTCTTAATATTTTGCAGGATTTATCTTTATAAATATTTGTATACATATAGATCTTGATAAAAAAATATTCCTAGACAAGCTAGAAATGTTATGCTTCAAAAAAAAAATATAAGAATGTAAAAATTTACAATGCATTATTCTGTAAATGTACAGTACAATATTATTTTCTGAATTCACAGTGCAATATTACTTTGTTAATTCTCCTACTATATTGCATTATTATTCTCTTAATATTTTGCAGAATTTATCTTCCTAAATATTTGTATACATATAGATCTTGATAAAAAAATATTCCTAGACAAACTAGAAATGTTATACTTCCAACAAAAATAAAACAAAAAAAAAGATATTCTCTTACTATATTGCATTATTATTCTCTTAATATTTTGCAGAATTTCCTTAATTCCCAGTACAACCTCGCCTACAAACCATCACATAATATATCAATATGCGAATGCACCAATAAAAAAAATTTATCCCCAACAAAAATATAATCCCCCTAAAAAAGAACATCCCGAATAACCGGAAGCCGTCCATTGTACAGTTTAAACATCCCAGATTAAGCACAGAAACTCGATATTTTATCGAAAAACGAAAGGGTCGAGCACAATAAAGTGTAAACCCAAACAGGAATCCCTGGAACCCTTTGGGCAAAGAGTCGCAACCCTTTTGGCAAACTCAGGCAAGTTGGCCGAGCTCGTAAACGTTTCGACAACTTTTTTTCTTTCCCTGTTTACGGACGTCGCCGTTTATTGCCGGCTTCATAAACGCATAAACGGTGAACTTTCTCTGGGATTTATGCTCGTGTGTCTCGGACGCAACGGTCGTTGCAACGACAAGGTGTCACGAGACCAAGGTTCGAAGTTAACGTCCACCATCATCTACGCAATAATTTATTTTCATGATTTTATGGCTGCGCTATTACGAGCACTGACCCTGTCCCTCGCTCGACCTTCTTCGCAGAAAGCCGATTGCTTTTTTCCTCTTTGTCCTCGCTCGTTTATTCCTTTGTCCTCGTGTAACGTGCGTATGCTCGATTTTTAATTAGAATTGCTTTTGTCAGAGTTGAGAATTTTTTGGGGTAGATTGGGGATGATGGGTTTGAATTTTTTTGTAAATTCACAAAATAATATCATGTAATAAATTCACAAAATAATATTGTATATTAGAATTCACAAAATGATATCATACAATAAAATTCACAAAATAATATTGTATTGTACATTCAAAAAATAATACTATACAATAAGTTCACAAAATAATATTATACAATAAAATTCACAAAATAATAATATACAATTAAATTCACAAAATAATATTGTATTGTAAATTCACAAAATAATCTTGCATTGTAAATTCACAAAATAGTATTGTACAATAAAATTCACAAAATAATATTGTATTGTACATTCAAAAAATAATATTATACAATAAGTTCACAAAATAATATTATACAATAAAATTCACAAAATAATATTATACAATTAAATTCACAAAATGATATCATACAATAAAATTCACAAAATGATATTGTATTGTAAATTCACAAAATAATCTTGCATTGTAAATTCACAAAATAGTATTGTACAATAAAATTCACAAAATAATATTGTATTGTAAATTCACAAAATAATCTTGCATTGTAAATTCACAAAATAGTATTATACAATTAAATTCACAAAATAATAATATACAATTAAATTCACAAAATGATATCATACAACAAAATTCACAAAATAATATTGTACAACTGAATTCACAAAATGATACTGTATTGTAAATTCACAAAATAATAATATACAATAAATTCACAAAATAATATCATACAATTAAATTCACAAAATGATATCATACAACAAAATTCACAAAATGATATTGTATTGTAAATTCACAAAATAATCTTGCATTGTAAATTCACAAAATAGTATTGTACAATAAAATTCACAAAATAATATTGTATTGTACATTCACAAAATAATAGTATACAATAAATTCACAAAATAATATTATACAATAAAATTCACAAAATAATATTGTATTGTACATTCACAAAATAATAGTATACAATAAATTCACAAAATAATATTATACAATAAAATTCACAAAATAATATTATACAATTAAATTCACAAAGTGATATCATACAACAAAATTCACAAAATAATATTGTATTGTAAATTCACAAAATAATAATATGCAATAAATTCACAAAATAATCTTGCATTGCAAATTCACAAAATTAATCGTGACATAGCCATTCCCTAAGAATCACCAAGGCCTTAACGATGGAAGCAAGGTGTTAATTCGACTCGCACGTGGACAGAAAATCGAGTAACACCGCTATCAGCTACTGTCACTTGATCATCGTAAATCGATACCATGCACCAGTAAAATTCCATGGCCTAGTCACGGTGTTAAATAAACAGCACGCCAGCCGAAATCTTGAGACAGTTTCGCGTAACGAAAACAGCCTCGACAGCGGGTTCATCGAACCGCCATCACGTTTTTGCCCGCGATGCGCGCGTGCCTTCTCTTATTTCGATTCTAACTCTTACAATTTTATTTCTATACTAATTCATATGTTACATACTAGTTTATGTTCTTTAGAAAATGGGTGAAATTTTTGTTGGGTGGAAAATGAGGATGAAATAGCAGCGATGTGGATGAGGAGATAAAATAGCAAGGATGTGGATGAGATAAAATAGGTCCATAGGTGATTGGTCAGAGATAGAAGTAGATTGAGGGATTTATTTATATTTTTGACTGGTTTGATTACAAATGCCATTCACATCGATCAAGGGAGAGTACTTGTCTGAGTTCTTAGAAAGTCAACATTAGTTAAATTCTCAAGAACGAGTAATAGAATGTTGGGACAATATGTGGAGACCTGATGGATCATTGTTCTGAAGACATAGACCCATTGAATAGTGTACTTGCCTCTGACACTTCTGTCACTCATCCTTGCTTACAGTACCATGCTAGCAAATTTGGGTATAATTGTATACCTACCTGGGAAGCTAAAAGCGTTAACCCGGTAAATAAAGAGTAGGTCGAAATAGAAAAAGAGCTAGTGCTCGTAAAAGCATAAAAAGCTTGTCGAACGTGTGTCGATCGAAGGGAAGAAGTCCGGTCGGTAGCGTAGGACGTATATCAGCGTTAGGAATAAAGACGGAGGATAAGCGAAAAGAGGAGAGCATGAGAGGAAGCCGGCAAGGTTCGAGCGAGACGATGAAAAGCAGAAGGCGAAACGACGGTCTCGCGGTTGGCTCGAGCGAGAGGGCGCATGGCCTTGGCCGCTGCTGCGGGGTAATTCAGTCAAGGTTTCGGCCGATGAACTTCCTCCGATGGGAGGAAGGAGAGTCGGCCGGTAGAGGTCCGTGGCAGTGGAGGGGATAGCGGGCGACCAATCGGGAGGGCACGCGGCCCAGCGTGCGGCGACGGGATTGGTTGGGTGGGCCCGTGACGCCGGTGCCCGGGCCCGCAGCCGCTTGTCAGTGACCTCCAGCATTGAAAATACGATGAACTCTCGGGGGGCTCTGTAAGAGCTGTGTGTCCTCTACTACATACTAGGTAGCCAGGGCGTAGACATTGTAGATGGTCGAGGCAGCCTGGCAAGCAGGCAGCCACATCAATCCCTCCCCTCCACCGGCTACGCTCCGAGTAAGGGCTGCACGGCCCCCAGGTAACCAACACTCGGCAGCGCCGAACTCCAGTCAGACCAACGCGAACCTCCCTCGAGCGAACACTTACTTTCACTCTCTCTTCCATCCGCGGCCTTCCTCTCGTGTAGCACCCCTCGGTATAACACCGACGAGGTGTCCATCGATTGCCACAGAACGCACCTGCCCTTCCTTTCGGTAGGATCTCCAGTTTCGTCACGTGATTTGGTGTCTAGGAACTGAGAGAGGGAAAGTTGTGAGTTTGTGAACCAGTGACGGACAGTGAGAACTGATATGTGCAGTGCCGTGCCAAGTGGATAATTCGCATTGGATTTAGAACATGATTCTAACGCCGGATAGCAGCGCACAGGCCACGATGGCCACATCGCCGGAGTCGCCGATCTCGACCATGTCACATGGATCGCGCGCCTCCAGCGTATCGCGCATGTCCTGCGTCTCTCAGGGCATGTCCAGTCCTTATCACGTGGCACAGCTGCCCCATCATCTCAGCCCAAACATGCCCACCATGGACTCCACCGTCTCCTCCGCTAAACCTGAACCCGAACTAAACATAGGTACGAGCCAGCTTCTCCTAAGCTTTCCGGGTCACCTTCCACATATTTTCACCACTTCGCAGCTTGGTCAAACCTCCAGATATGAACGCATAAGCTGGATTAAGCTCGCAAATATCATAGTCATAATACCTGGTTAAACCTCCAGACCTAGCTCTAAGCTTCTGAATCTACTCTCCGTAATTATAATTTAATAATTCTGCTAGCGGTTTAGTCTGCGAATTGGAAATTGGAAAACGATCGCGAGTGAAAGCAGAAAGTTGTAACACCGCGATGCTGTAACCCGGCGAGAGGAGAAAGTGTTCTTCTTTCTCTCCCACCTTTCCCATCCGCTCTCCACGTGGAGAGCAATGAACGTATCTGAAGTTTTCTCTGTTTGATTGCAGAATTCGACGGAACCACGGTGCTGTGCCGCGTCTGCGGGGACAAGGCGTCCGGTTTCCACTATGGGGTGCACTCCTGCGAGGGATGCAAGGTGAGTCGAGAAAGACGTTACGAAATATTTGAACGTGGCCAGGAAGTGAACGTAGCGTGAATGTGAATGTACGAGCCAAGGCTGAGGTATCGACCGAGGTCGACCTTGTGCACGCGGAAATCGTGCGAGTCCTTGAAGTCTGAAAGATCCAAGGTCCCGAATTCGATGAATTCCGAGATTTTCCGGGAAGGGACACAATAGTTGCGCAAAGTCCAGGTAGGCGGTTTTCGCGTTATGCTCGATTTCGAGTCGGAAAGAGAAACCGTTGGAAAGTTCGCTTATTACAGAAAAGTGACTGGTAAAAGAGGATCCCTCGAATCAAATGTAAATCATTCTCCTCGAGACTGATAATTACGTCCCGCGAAGGCCAACGTCCTCATGCTCGTCATTGTGCTTCAAGGAGGCTGGTGGGGGCAGCACAGGCCGCGAATTCGTTTTAGGAAGTGGCAGCCACCACCAGCGCCGACCACCTCCACT